AATATACACTGAACCATCTCTAAAAGCTATCCATCCACAATGCAAGCCCGCACACACACACACACACACACACACACACACACACACACACACACACACACACACACACACACACACACACACACACACACACACGCACACACTGCATGCTGCATACTCTGTTTATGCGCGCATTACTTGTCGCATTTATGTTGGCCAGTGTAAATAACCGAAAATTGTATGTTGCGAGCCGCAACCACGACACCGTGACGACAACGGCAGATGCCAAGCGAAAGCCAAGCCAACCTCAGTAGCAGCAGCAGCAGGAGCAGGAGCCGGAGAAGGAGTCGGGCCTCTCTGCTGCACCGACTGGCGATGTCGCGGCTCTGGTCATGATGGTGACTCTGTGAATATGTCAGAGCGCCGTTGTCTGCGGCCAACGAGTGATAGACGCTACCATTAATTCACATTCAGGTGCCGCACGCTTGGTTGCCTCGCCAGAAATGTGAGTGAGAGTGTGAGTGTGAGAGTGAGAGTGAGAACAACATGTGTTTTTTGTCAGCCACCCTAAAGTGTGGACAGGGATCGGTAAAGTTTAGTGCGGAGTCTGCGGTCGCCCGCCCAGGCAGATCTCGTGCAATGCCATGACAAATGCTCTGGCCAGCCCCAACGATTCTCGCCGTTCGAGTGGAGCTCGCGCAGCCAGACAGGTGCCTAAAAAACTGACCCACTTGCTGGCCGTGCAATTAATGCGCACCCCAGATGTGAACATGGGCAAAATTGAAAGTTAGCCGGCCGCTCTCAATGCCCGCCACATTGTGTGGCCATAGCCAAAAGGGGCCAAAGTAAAATCAATAAGGGCAGGTCACTCCGCAGTGTCGACTGTCGCCTGTCTCCTGTCTCCTGTCTCCTGCCTCCTGTCGCTTGTAGCCCGGGCCAATGCCAAGCAACCACCAAAAGTGTATAAAAAGTGAACAGAACTGAACCAAGAAATGAGGTAGCCATGACAACCGCACTCAATAAACAAATGCCAAGCGCACACACACACACACACACAGGCACACATACGCTTGCACCTTTTATGCGCCCATTCGAATAAAGTTGCTTTAAAAATAACTCTCAATGCCGCATTTATTGTATTTGGTGCTGGGCCCGCGGTGCCACGCTAACTGTGTCAACATAGCAGAGCACCGGCTGCCATCGACAGTCGGACGGTGAGTGCGAGCGTGACTAGACCCAGTGCAGCAGCGAGATGTATCCGCAGGCGGAGCTGGAGAACTACAAGCTGCAAGTGGAGCTGCTGCAGGAGAAGCTGCGTCGCAGGTTTGTGGAGCACATTTTATAATTAGATATAAGTGCAACATGAAGTAAATATGATTTAGGCGAGCTCTCTTTAAGCAAGCGCAGAAAAACATTATTCAATAAGTTTTGCAGGCAGAGCAAGAAGAGGAGAATACTTAACTTTGCTTTTAGTTTAGCAACTTTGCTTGTAGCTTACATTAATTTCTAATTATTTGATGAACTTTGAGTTAAGTAAGTGAGGCAAAACTTAAAAGTTGGGAATCAATATTGTGGTTATACAAAAAATTGTTATTTATAATATATTTTTTGCTTCTTATGTATGACTAATTTCCGCATTTTTGCCCGGTGCCACAGCGAGGACAATCGCCAGCAGCTGGAGCATAAACTAGAAAAGGTTCTGCAAAAGCGCAGTGAAATGTGAGTAAAATTTGTTTTTGCTGTGCCAACGAGTCCAAGAACTCATTTATAACGTCGTTCATTCTCATGTGCTCCAGCGAGAAAGGCATACGCCAGAAGACACGCCAGAAATACCAGGAGTTCCTGGAGGAGCAGACGCTACGCAACGAACGAAACAAAAAGCTGGTGCAGATGCTGGAGCGCATCGACGAGCAGACGGCTGTCATGTCGCAGCGCAGCGAGAGACTTAAAATGATGAAGGTGAGTCACAGGTGCAATTCGAAAGTCACTCTCCGCCGCATCCTAATTCCATGTGCATCTGCCTGTCCACATGCAGCTGCAGTACCAAATGTACTTTGCCAAATTGGTTCAAAGCCAAACACTACGCTGCATACAACAGACAGCCGCTCCAGGAGGCGGCGCGATGACGATTCCTGTGCTCATACAGCCCCAGCGCCAGGCGACGGCCGTGTCGAGTCCAGCTGTTGGGACAGCAGCGGCTAATGCTGCAGCAGCTCCCATTGCAAATCAGAGCCAGCCACTGATGTATCCCCTGACGACTGCAGGGCCACAGCAATGGGCCTTTGCGACGCAGGCGTCGGCGCCGACGTCGACGCACACTCAAGCTGGCATGTTATTAACTTCGCAGGTGACACCACAGCCCGCCGTTTATATGCCCTACCCGGACTTGTATGGCGGCGCAGGGGCTGGCTATGGCGTGGTGGGCGTGGGACAGCCGCTTGCCACATCCAATCTGTTCGACCTGCGCGCCACATTGCGTGCCCTGGACAATGAAAATGCCGATTTACCGGAGCGAATGACGCACTTTGATGCGGCCGCCCTAGCAGTCGATGAATCTCGAGGTGGCGGCGTTGACAGAGCAGCGCCAGCAAAAACAGCAGCCATGACGACAACAACAACGACATCGACAACGACAACGACGACGACGATATCAACTCCATGCTCAGTGAAAGATATGAGCGCACGGGAGCTGAGCAGCACATCCTCGACGCTGGCAACATCCTCGTTGACATTTGATAAATTGCCAATGACGGCAGCGCAGACTGAGCTGCCAGCTGCAGCTGTCGCTGTCGCTGGCGTCGATGACGCTGGCGGTCGACCGCAAGTGTCGGCGCAGTTGCGTAGGGGCAGTCGGCAAGAGCTGGAGCAGCAGCAGGAGCTGGATGCTTGGCCAAATTCACGCGTGACTAAAGGCGAGCTTGAAAAATCGCCAAGTGTCGTTGGCTATAATGAGGCGAGCGGGCAACAACAGCAACCACAGCAACACCAGCAACACCAGCAACACCAGCAACAACAACAGCAACGCGATTTCGATGCTTACTTTGGTGAGATGAAAATCGATGAGCCCTGGCAACCAACGGCAGCTCCAATGGCAACAATGACACGGCCAAAGGACCAGTACGAAGACAGAGCGGATCTAAGCGTGCGTGCTGGCAAAATGAAAACAGTTGGAGGCGATGGCGCCATTGGCGGCCTCGTTGGCGGCATCAGCAGCGATTTGCTTGACGAAGTCAAAGCCAGCCGTGCTGCTTTGGAGAAGGCAGCGGCTGCGGTTGATGAGCAGCTAGCACGAGGTAATCAATTGTCGCCACCGGCACCCAATGAGCCATTCGCTAAGCCCGGAGTGTCGATTGAGAATATTGAAAATGCCATTTACGGTGAACGTTTGACGGCAACAACCACTGCGATATCAGCCAGAGCAGCAGCAGCAGCGGCAACGGCAGCGGCGGCGGCAGCAACAACAACAGCAACAACTGCATCGACACCGGGATTAGTGGAGAATTTGGTAAGCAACGCATCGATGCCACAGCCACATCAACAGGAACAACATCCGCAGCAGCAGCAGCAGCAGCATGGGAATGAGCAGGTGAGTGCCATGGATACACAACAGTTGTCAGAGCAGCAGCAGCAGCAGCAGCAGCGAGCAGACCAAACAGCCTACGGGCAGTATGATGCCAATAGCTATGTGGATCCGGGTGAGCCCAGTTACGCCAGCATTGAGTCGACTCCGCAGCAGCAGCTGCAACAGTTGCAGCAGCCGGCAGGCGCTGCGGCCGAGCCACTGTACAGTGAAATCGGAAATCCCACAGACTATCAGCAATATGCAGCGGATGCAGCAAACGCATCAGCCGAGGCCGAGGCAGAGGCGGCTGCAGCCACAGCGCAGCAAGAGTACTCCGGCATGGATTACAGCAACTACGATGCCGCGCAATATGCAGCTGGCTATGATCCCAATGCCCAGTACCCGGGCTACATATACGATGAGGCCACTGGCCAGTACATAGCCGATCCCAATGCAGCTCAGTATGCCCCGGATGGCAGCTACGCGGGCCAGGACTATGATGCTGCAGCGGCAAATTATGATTACTATGGCGAACAGCAACAGCAACAGCAACAGCAGCAGCAACAACAACAGGAAGAGCATCAGGAACAAGAGCAAGGCGCCTATCCGATGTCTGACAATAGCAATGGCACAGCAGCGGAGCTGGTCGCACCACAGGAAGTGGAGCAAGCCCCGCCATCAGACGGGGCTGATGCAAAGCCCGAGGCCATTCACTCACCAGCGGTGGCCGGCAGCACCGCCAAGCCCGCGAAACCCACATCGATACTTGCGTCGACAGACAAACAAGCGATGCCTAATGATGCGCATCAGCAGCAGCAGCAGCAGCAGAAGAAGAAGAAGCGCGTTAATTTCGTTGACAGCAGCGAAACGGATGATAGCTCAAGCGCGAAACCAGTCCAGGAGCCACCCGGACTTACTGGCAGCCCCGGCCCCGGCCCCGGCCCCAGCCCAAGCGCCACAGCACCCGCGGGAGCAGCGGCCAGCGCGTCTGGCGTCGGCAGCGAAAGCGACTTCGATTTTTCAACGGGCAGCGAGGCGAAGAATTAGAACAAGCGCCAAACACTTCAGTTCTAATTTGCTGCCATTTAGGTTAACCAATGGACTGGCCATCCCACACAGTGGTCATTCATTCAATGGGATCGCAGTCAATTTCTGTCCACAGCATTTCCCACTTTGCACACAATTCATGAATGGAAACTTTGATTGGAGCATCTTGAATATATATATATATAAGTATACATATATAAAGCATCTTGAATATATATATAAGTATATATGTATATATATATATATCTTGTCTAGCTTACCTTATCTGGTTACTTTTCACAAAGTTAAATTGAGTATGAAATAAAATAAATTATTAATCAAGCTTAGCAAAAAATATTGTGAACTTTAACAAGCTTACGCTTTGAATGGACTTTGCACATTTCGATTTGGGAATTTATTTAAAAGAAGAGTTTTAATGGTATAGATTTATAAAAAGAAAAATGGTTACATTGAATATATTTCTAAAATATAAACTAATTAATAAACTATTAAAATAAAATATTAACAATTAATTTACACGTTTCGCTTTTGTATAAAATTAAGTTAGATGTTGAGAGCTCTAAGATTTTTCACAAAAGATAATAAAAAGAGTTGCTTAAAAAATTTAAATAAAATGTACGAATTTTTAAGTATTTTCGTTGATAAATATTATGCCAAAAAAATAAGCCCCACTTAATTATAAATTAAATTATAATTATGAGTTTGTCAGCAATATGAAGCATATGAAAACTTGACGTAAAACTGATACAGATTTTTAAAATATTAAATGCGAGTTATTTAAGGCTGGAATCTTAAATGATTTTCGCGCGGATAATTAATTAAAAATCATGGAATGCGTTCAGAAATCAGAATCGTTAACAACTTTTATATAACCGTTTGAACGGACAAAAGGCTCACTTTTTTAATTTCATAAGAGTTCAGCCTGTGGTGCTCTTTGGTATTTACATACGTGTAAATTTATATATATAAATATATGTGTGCATATGCACATATATATTGTTGGTTCTTAACTTGGACAATTGACCATGGTAGAGCATATATGCATGTACATACATATATACAATGCATATCGTATGTGTACATTACAATATTGCATTTTCAGGTTGCATAATAAGCCAAAGTGCAATTGTCACTGAAATGGGTTGATTGCCTGTCAGAGAGTCAATTGGCTGACCAACATATCCCGTTGGCAACGATGCTAATTAAGTGCAGCTACCGAAGAGCAGCACGCGATGCACATTTCACCTTTTCTGATACTAGGCTAGCAGGTGAACTGGTTAAAGTTGCAGCTGCAGCCGCGCTAACAGACCAATATAATGGAACAAAAAAGAATATAACAATTGCTTGAGGGAAAATTAAATATGCATATTTTAATACGAAAAGATCAATATATTACAGATATCCCACATAAGTTCAGGCAGAGGGAGAGAGATGGAATGAGAGAAGGAGATAGAGGGAGAGAGATAGGGATGTGGGAGAGAGTTAGAAAGAGATAGGGTGAGTGAGAGAGATAGAGTGATATGAAAAGAGAAGGTGAGAGAAATAGAGAGAGAGAGAGAGAGAGAGATACCTAAAAAATTGGCTAAACAAATATTAATTACATATAAAAAAGTAATATAAAATATTTATATTCAGGCTTAAAAAAATACTGCATCTTAAAATAAGATTTTCTAATATATTTTAAACAATTACAGACCAAGCCCTAAGTGCTCTAAGGCACTCAAGCTTTTTATTCCCATGTGTATATATATTAATTAATCTATATTTGTGTAGTAAATAACTATATATACATAGTATATATTTATTTAAATAGTCGACAAGCATAAGAAGAGAAACAAGCTTCGATTCTATTCTCATGTCCACTTTTCGATTAACTCTGGAAACTGAMTGCTGGCTGTTGTTGACACTTTTCCCATCAAATTTATATATGGATGTGATAAAAATGACGCTGGTTTTATTATTCTCATTGAATTTTCTCGGCTCTTTTATTCCTGGCTACATTTTTTTAAAGCCTATTGAAATTTTATTTATTATAATTTTTTTTTTTTTTTTTTTTGACGAACTTTGTGACGTTTTATACATGTATGTCTTAATTATACTTGCAGTGCAATTCAGGGCACTCAAACCATTAAAAACTTGTATTAATTTCCGGAAAAGTTTTTCTTGTTTTTTGCTTTAATAGAATTTTTTAAAATATAGTCAATTATCCAGCATTTGCGTAGAATAGAAAAACAAAATAAAATTTTTTTTGATTCAATGCACGAGAGCCAGGCAAAGCTTTAGCGCATACTTAAATGTATCTCTATTTATTATATTGCTTTTGAAAAAGAAATATCGTCTTTTTTTCATTTCATTCATTCCTAATGAGCTGAACATTTGTAACTGGCTGTTGGGCCGAAGGGCAACAATGAGTGGAGCCGTAAAAGGTTTCGAGTGAACATTTTTTATTGAAAAATTTGAAATTAAATGCTACAACGGGGAGCCTCAAAGGCGAATCGCAAATAAAACTGAAATGGGTCACAATTAAATGCTCTTAGTCAAATGAGAATTGCCAGCGACGTTTCGCAGCGAATGAAAAATTTCTTTACAGGCTAAATATGTGCATGCCAGCTATTGGCGGGCCAAAGGTATGAAGTTCGACCCAAAGACAACAAATGCGAACAATTTGAGAGTATTTCGTACTCGACTTACATGTACAGCAATAAGTATCGCAACAGACGCTTTTTGAAATTCGATCCGAATGCTTTAAGTCGCGCGTCGGGTCTAAAATTGATTTCTGTTGAGTATTAGCATAAACATAAAACTTATAAAGCATTTATCAGACGGAATATATTATATAGATGATATGGAAGAACGAGCACAGGAAGAGAGAGGGAGAGAGCGTTAAAGAGAGAGAGAGAGAGAGATAGCGAGTGTGGCATGTTTCCACAATAAATTGCAAAGCAAATCAAATCAGCACGTCGCAGGTACAAGGATAAAGGATTACGAATATAGCTTCAGCCACAACACGAATAATTGAGTGCTCCTTATTTATGCACCCCAAGCAACCAAATAAGAGACAGGAAGAGCAAGCGCAAACGAGTGAGAGAGAACACAACACGAGTACCGAGAATCGAAAAAAAAAAAAAATAAAAGAAAAGAAAGAGAAAAGAAAAATACATACACATAATCAGTGCAGAAATTCAATTTTGAAATAAAACGCAAATCGAGTAGCGCAAGTCACAATGCCGTGCCGTGTTCCTTGTACTTGCTCGCCGAAGAGGGGCGCAAGGGCGGGGTGTGAGTGGATTAAAAATACCAAAAAAAAAAGAATGTACATTCGCATATGTTCGTGTATTTTGGCTGTCTAAATAGGCACTGCTGGGAGCAACATTTGTGGTACACGCGGCGTATGATTGACATTTATGCAAATGGCTTACAGGGCCGCGCCTCGTTTGGGGGTGTTGACTATGACAATATTTACACAGCCACTGCTGTATAACTGTAACCCTTTCTTTGGACCTTCCTCGATACTGCAAGTCATTCACATGCGCTACATGGAACTGAGAGGAACTACTCAATTAGACAGACTTCAAGAAGGATCATAATTTAGGAATCATCTCGTTTTCTCAAATAAACAATTTGTTTGTAATCATGATTGATATGGTCTACTTATATCTAGTATATCGTCGACTTTATTTGGTCAGCCGTGGCTCATAGACCGTTTCCAGTTCAATGTTTGCGTTGACATTAACACTAATTGAAAACATGAAATGCGATATCTCGCAGACAGACTGTATATGCGTCATACTCGGCGTATACACAATGTTACCTGCTCCAACCCTTGGCACGATTAGTGAACGTTCAGTGCGCCCGACAGCTCAAGCCAGCTACATTCAGTTCGTGCCGTTTTCACGGTGAAAACATAACAAAAGTTTTCGCTATTTTCTCCCCCTGCACAGGCAGGCCCACAGTGGAACAGTGGAAGTTTTCTGCGTTTTTCCGCCAACTTATTATTGTTTAAATATTTATACGAGCTTTGGCAGATACAGTGGCATAAGGACTCTGACTAGTCTGGAGTCAACAGTGCCCCATGCCGTGTGTCACATGCCACATGCCATATACCATGTAGCATGTAGCATGTAGCATACAGTAAACATCGTGGCTGCCGTGTGCTGTCTAGGCAACACATGTGCGACAAGTTCGAGGCGCCAAAGTTTGCGCGACACTCCATGGGCTCGACATTGTCACGTAGTTGCCTGGCCACTTGCTTGACGTTGAGTGGAGCTGCCAGCGATATGCATATGAATGCCAAAGTGCCTCAGGGCGTTCGATTTGGCTCTGACAGTGCCTGTCGTTGGCAATCGCTTGATAAACGCAGCAAACCCATCCGAAGCTTATTGCACACATAGTTAGCTATTAGTCCATTTGACTTTTAGCAGTGCAAGTTCTGTTAGAGCTGTGGCACGTAACTTTTCCTAACATTCCGAATGAGTCCAGCTTAGCTGTGATACCTGAACCCATAAAAATTCATCAGAAAGGATTGCTTTAATGTCAAGATTCATATAAAAGTGTATTTAAGCAAAATTGTCGTTCATTTTAACAATCTCTTCTCTCTGACAATCTAGTCATTAGAGCTACAGTATTCAATCCGTTATAAAGGTCAGCTCTCTACTAGAGCATATAAGCTTCGGTTTAGCTACTGCGACTGCCATGATTCACTTTAAGAGCAGCAAGCACGTATGAGTGTTTTACAACGATGGCAAACAGGGCAAATAATCATCATAATATTTCTAAAGTGCCGCTGCAATTTGGTCTATGAACACAAACATCAGTTGCAGCATAAAACCTTCACAAGCATAAATTCACAAGACATGAAAATTTACGAGCTTGCATGGAAATTTCAATATCAAGCAAACTAATTGCTCAAGTGAATTACAGACAGAGTCAAGGAGTCGCAAATGGAAAGCACTTGGCCCGGCTGCCAATGAATATCAAATGGGAGTCCAGAACAGAAAGAAACTTTAAAGCTTACAAATTGTATGGAAAGCAAAATTGCACTCTGTACGTGTATATATGCATATGCGAGTGTATGTCTCATTTGAGTCCGGGCAATGCACAAAAGTTTACTCATAAGAGATAAGTAATTCGCAATATGTTTAGAGTTATACAGAATTAGG